CACACTGTGCCAGTGTCCCCAGGAGAACACAGCAGTGACTCTCTCCAGAGCTGTCCAGGGGCATGTGCCACCTGCAGGCTGCCAGCCACAGCCCTGGCSAGGCCAGCACCCCTCTCCTCACGCRTGCAGGTGGGYAAGAACCATGGGCAAGCACCAGTGCAYGGGGAACCCTACCAGGGCCAGTCTCGCAGGTGAGTGGGAACTGCTGGATTTCTGGCGCTGAGGTGTTGCTGTAATAGTCCGTGTCGAGCACCCACCAGTACGGCCTCTCCCCAAAGAGGATCCTGAAAAGAAAAGAGAAGGGATCTGGGGAAGTCCTGGGCACAGGTGCAGCTTTAGATCCGTGCTGGGAGATGGAAGAAGCAATGGAGCCACAGGGCACCCTGACAGACAGCACCCGGCTGATTGCTTGGTTCTGAGAGCTGGCACTGCCTGGCCGTGTCCCCATCCCCAGCCCTGAGCTTCCTGGGAGCAGTCAGTGTGAGCTCCTGTGGTGAGGGCTCTGTGAAGATCCCCCACTCACCACCACAGCCCTGGCTGATGGGGAGCTCCGTTTGCAGGAGGCTCCATCTCTCTGCTCAGCTCTGGGAAGGGGGAAGCTGTTGCTGCACAGCTTGGGAAGGAGTGACCATTGTCACTGCCCAGCTGGGGCTGAACTCCAGTCTTTGTTCTATGCCAGCCCCGGGGCTGAGAGCCCGTCCAGCCCACGTTAGTCCAGGTGTGCCACCACACTCGGTGGCAGCGTTGTCTTGGGGCCACTCACCACTTGAAGACGAGGTTGAGCCAATCCCCGATGACAGACACCCAGATGAGCCTGACWCCCACCGCTTCGTCAAAGTGGAACCAGATGGGGAAGAGGACAAAAAAAGCATTCCTGAGGTCAGCAGCATAGGAGATGAAGAGGAACCAGTCCTGGGAGCCTTGGAAGCGTTGCTGCAGCCAGTGTGTGGTCCTGATGCCCGCATCGTGCAGGAGGTTCATGTGCGCCTCCATCCTCCTCCGCCGCTGCCCTGGCCGTGGCTCCGGCTGTCCCGTACCCCACTGGGGTTTTATACTCTGCAGGGTCCTGTTTGCAGCGGGCAGGTCGCTGTCCCAGCACTGATCTTTGGACCCAAAACCGCTCTTGCCAAAGGTACATCACCAGGGGGTTGTAACAAACATGTTTGGAACAGCTGACGTCAAAGGGGAAAAGAGGCTT